ACGCCACCGGCACATCAGACTCACACATGCATTCCTCCAAACACAAAAGTCACAACAAAGGTCATATACACACAAAAACAGCGGAAAAGAAATACAAAGTCAAGCGGCGCCGTATAAGTAGATACCCAGGAATGGAATGGAATGGAAGGCAGGGGTCCGAGTCCAGCGAGCGTATTATAAGTGTGCAGATAATCCTACTGTAGCGGAATTAGGTTGTTGGATGGTATGTATGGTATTTTGAGAGAGATAGAGAAAAGAGGAGAGAATGTGCATGCGGGTGGGTATTAGATGATGTGGTGGGGCATAATGAGGAACGAAGAAAACAAGAGAGGAGGGAAGGAGAGATAATGTACGTGGGTATCTGGGAACGATGAACAGCGAAGGGGAAATCATGAACGAGAAATGGAACGTAAAAGAGAAGGAGAGCATTAACACAGATCATATCGTACCATATCATACCATACCAATGGAGATAAATGAAAAGCAAACGGAAGTGAGGTGAATTAACCGAATCGTTCGATATTTGGGTATGCGTCGAAGCCGAGAATTGAAAATAAAGCCCGTGAAAAATTGAAGCGCGAATGAAAAATCGTGAATGATGTACATGAAGCGGAAGTTGAAGCGGAATGAGCAAAAAAGCGTCAAGAGTCGTTCCGAGTCGTTCGAGCGTTATAATGCGTGTGTTTGGTTGGTTGTCTTATGTGCGGTGGGGTGGTGAGATCCGGTATCCGAGGGGCATCAAAGCCCAAAAGCCTAAGAATGCGAATGTCTCCCCATCCTACCAAAAAAAAACGCATCAGCACCCACAAAATAATAATGATAATAATGAAAAACACATACACGATCCCCACACTCTGCCTCCACAGCCCGCCCATCCGCATGCGCCACGTCTTCCCCACGGTACCCGCATTACCCGCACCAACATTCCCCCTCACCGCCGGCATATGCTCATAATCATACCTAAATGACATAATCGGCTCTGACATCGTGTGATTATGCCCTCCTCCTCCTCCGTCTCTCACAGTCCCAAGCGGGACAGTCAACGGCCTAATATACCCTTGGCCCCCTTGGCCACCGCCGCTCCCTACTGATAAATGGGACCCGCTCTTAACGGACCCAGGGCCAGAGCGGGACGAGAGCTTGTCGTACTCCTCGGGGCGGTACCAGAAGGGAGAGAGGAAGGAGGGCGGAGTAGGTGTGGATAAGGATGTTCGGG